TGAATATAGTATAAGCATATAAGCATAAATCGGGGTATCATACACGCTTTTAAAAAATTAAACTGAAAGGGAAAGTATGTAGAATAGATTTTTAGTGATCATTATAGTTTTTAAATCACTTTGTAACTCACAAAATTATTAGATTTGAAATGCGAATGAAGTTGGCTCCATTTTGACTCATTAGTAAATCTGAATCACAAAGAGTGACTTCTATCCATCATCTTCCAAAGTGAAACTTAGAGACTCCCATCTATCCTGAGCCTGTTTAGTAAGCCTGTCAAAAAATAAATCCCCATTTCTGTTTTTAAGAATACATTAATGTCCTTTCTACTTTCAACCCTATGATTTCTTCTCAAGAAGAAGAAAATGAACAAAAACCTGTTCTTCACTCAAAGAAGATCCTGACATGGTTTTTATTATCTTATAGAATGTTCTTCAGCCCATTGGAAAAATAAGCCCAAATAAGTCTAGTTCTAAAGTTTCACTGTTTTATCTTTATTCTGTAACAATTAGAATAACTGAATTAAACTTTTTCAAGATTTAAAAATTTTATAGATTATTTTTCAGAATAGTATTACTTTGTATTTTTTATCCAATCATCATGAAATAAAAGTTTATTACCCAAAATCTTTTTTAAACAAGAACTTGGAAAAACAATTATTTCTCCTCCTAGGCTTATGTACCTAAGTTATGGCTAGCCTAGACATTCTTTTTAGATACATTCAAAGACTGTTTATCATTATAGCTTGTAAAATGAATTTTCCCAGTGTGAATATGCTGTATATTAGTCCAGTTAAAAGTATTATCATACATATTATCATCAACAATTTTCCATTTTTATGTCCCTTAAATGTTTTGCTTCTTTTTCTCCTTGATTCCCTTCCTCTCCACCTCTCCCATTTCCCACCCCTCTCCAATACTGTCTCTAGTATCCACAGCTGTTCTCCATGCTTTTATATCATTTAATCTTTCAATTTCTGCCATGGAACGTAGACATTTGGTGTATATTAACTGGGGACACACAATGTCTCTCTTGTTTGCTTTGCTTAGCAATAATCTTCCATGTTCATCCACTTTATATCAAATGCCAGGGTCTTGATTTTTATGGCTAAGTAGTATTCCACAGTGTTATCTGCCACACTGCTTCAATCCATTCATCTGTTTGTTAACATTTGGGTTGGTTCCATGTCTTAGCAATTGTGAATAATACTGCAATAAACATGGATGTGCAAGTACTTTTCTCACTGAGTATATTCCTATCCTTTGGATAGACACTCAGGAGTGGAAATGTTGGATCATATGGTTGTTCTATTTGTAAGTCTTTGAGATATTGTTCTCCGCAGTGACTAGACTAATTTACATTCCCACCAACAGTATAGGAGAGTTCCCTTTTCAGCACAGCTTCACCAGCATTTATTATTATTTTTTTCAATCTTAGCCATTCTGACTATGATTAGGTGGTATCCCATTGTGGCTTTGTTTTGCATTTCCCTTATGATAAGGGATATCAAGCATCTTTCATATGCTTTCTGGCTGTTTGTATATCTTCCTGAGAGAATTGTCTGTTCAGTGAGCCTATACCTTGTTGAGCCAAAGAATAATTTGATTCATACTCTGGGTAAAATTTTCTATCACTTTTAAAATTTAACTAAAAATTTGGCTATAAAATGAGTATGCGAGCAGGAGGAACATAGTGTGTTGCTTAGGGAAAAAAAAATTAACGGTTCAACATTTATCTGACTATTGCCAATATATTTCTTTAGAAAATGTTAGCCTCTGTGGCCTGCCAAAATATATTCAACTTTGAACTTTGAAGAAATAACATTTGATTGATGACTCAGAAAATTCCAGAGACTCCTCCTACTTCAGTGACCTAACGTATTGGTCTCATAAACTTCCGTTCATCTAATTGTTTTGAAATAAGCATTCCCTGCATATATACTGTAACATAACATTAGACTGTCATTAAATAATGTAATTGAGCCATGATTCTTCATCCAAGAAGACAATTTCGTTGCTTTTATTTCCACCAAATAGATGTCTAAATGTTTAACAATGCTCTTAATAAGCTATGATGCTCGTTTGCCATTACAAAACTTAAAATAACTTTATTTTACAACTACAGTAAATCACAAAGGAGGTATTTTGGTTGATGTAATGGGAGAGAGAAGGAATTTCAGGAAGAAATGGGGGGAAGACCAATCAAATCTTTATGTGTTACAGGTTAAAAAAGAGTTGAGAGAGGTAGAGGCAGACACTGAGAAGGAAAAACAGAAAAATAGAGAGAAAATAAGCAAAAATATATGATTTTCTAAGTCAACAATGAGAAGTATCCAATAAAAGATGTACTTAGTACAAAGTTGATAACTTTTCGGAAGCAATAAAGGGTATTCTAACAGTGAAGTTAGAAGTTGGGAGATACTTCAAGGTCTGGAGCTATCATTAAGTTTCAATGATATAGAGAAAGTAAAAGCTTTTTCTAAATTTAGAGCTGACTTTATAAGGGGAGAAAGACAACATTAAGGAAGAGCTTTGAATATATTAGGAAAGGAGACATAAGTCTATTTCAAAAACTGGCTTAGATTTTATCATATCCAAAATTTAATTTTATTATATGTTGCTGAATGTTGACTAATTATATTTCATATAAGATTTAATGAACATATCCATTCAATAAATATGTAAAGTGGCCACAATTCTCCACTGATACTGCGTAAGAACAGTAGAGGCCATTATTTAAATGATCAGTTTAGCAACTTAAATCCAGGAACTGGCAAAACACAAATAGAGATTAAAACTTTATTACACAGAATAGAAATTCTGCAAAAGAAGTCTGGTAAGTAAATGAGCGATAGTAACCTGTCAGATCCTACTATTCGGACCTTGGTTAGAGAAGGGTCCCAGCGCAGCGGAAAGA